GGTGGAGAGGCTAGCGTCTCTCTTCTGGCCCTGGAAGGTTCTCCCTTGGGAAATAAGGTGATTCAGCACCTGCTGGGGAAACAGCACCCAGGCCTGCTCTCCAGGATCTTCCAAGATGCTTTTCGGGTCCCCTTAGAACCTGAGCCCCACGCATGTGCTTTCTGCTCCCTCTTCCAGAAGGTTGAAAAAGCACATTCTGCAGGACGAGGGAGGCCTGTTCTGAGCACGAGTGGAGAAAAGCCTCTGAGGAAGTGGTTGCATGCCCTGCCCCCCTCAAGAGTAGAAGAGCTCAAGGAGCATGTGCAAATGAGCCAACACTGGTCAGGGAGCTCATGAGATGGCAGGGCTAGCTAACACCAGTTCCCATGTTTCCTCATGAAGATTGACAAGGCCAGATGGGGTTAGGGATCTGAGCCCCAAATCCCAAGGCCCCTTCTAAATCCTTCACCTTCTTAGGAATCTCCCTCGTCCCTCTCAATAAACACCCCAAGCCTGACTCCCCTCAACTGGAGCCTATGATGCAGCTAATATTTTTGCCTGGGGCCCAAGGAACAGTGGCTGATGCTTCCATTAGCTCTCAGCAGACAACAGACACTTCAGTATTTTACAGATAAAAAGATAGCTGACTCCTTTCCGTGTTTTAGACGTCAGCCTCTTCCTGAGGTTTTAATACTTAAATGTGGTAAGGATCAACTTTTTGTTGCTGATTCTTGAGTTTCCTTCAGGTCTTGTCTAGCTCCTTAAGACTTTAGTCAGGACATAGCCAGACCGTGGTGCTGTACGCCTTTGGTCCCAGCACTTGGGAGGCAGAGGCAGGTGAATCTCTGTGAGTTTGAGGCCAGCCTGGTCTACAGAGTGGGCTCCAGGACAGCCAAGGCTACACAGAGAAACCCTGTCTTGAAAAAAAAAAATCAGTCTTTGCCCCCAGAGGTAGAAGGTAGCTCTGTATTGTTAAGGACGTGATGCAGTTCATATGTGGGACCCAGAAGTCAGGACAGCCTCTTCTGGGTGTGATGAGCATTTCCCTATTTGGACCGTCCCAGACAATGGCCAGTAGCCACATGTGGACACTCGTTCGTGACTGAGACAGACTGAATTCTTAATTTCGTCTAGTTTTAGTTCGTTTTAATGTAAAGCACACCACCTCTGGCAGGTGTCAGCCTGGCAGCATCAGAACCCTGGAGTCTCAGCTCCAACTGCAAATGGGATGCTGGAACTGCTCTGATTCCTCTCTCAGTGATGCTCTGCCAGCACCGCACTTCCCAGGGCCTGAGCACAGCAGTCTTGCTGTCCCAGGAGGAGCAGGAAGCAGGTCGCCAGAGAGGAAGCCAGCGCACCCAACCACTCTGGACTCTAGAGCATCTGGTGGGGGGAGGTGGGGGGCAGGCTCCATTTATTTATATCACAGAGTGTTACAGTTGTCAGCTCTGCAGCTGAGAAACTGCTAGAGAAGGGGACAGAAATTGGCTTTGTCTATGTTCCCTGGCACCTACTCCTGTTGTTCAAAGGACGCCAGAAGAATTGGGGTTGGGGAGGGTGGGGACAGGAGAGCTCTGAGTGTGCAGACACTCTGTGGGTGTCACCAGAGAAAAGAAAGCTCATTCACTTTCACGTCTGCATCAAAACCCATACAAATGTCACCAGGGTGTTGGGCTTTATCCACCACGGGGGCAACTCTTGCTGTCCAAGGCGTGGTGACAGGGACTGTCAAATAAACAGTACTTTGGACAAAGTGGTGCCTGGCTGCGTCCTGAGTGGGAATGTGGTTACAGGAGCCAGACTCGACATGGGGGCTCTGAAAGGCAATATCATCCCCGATCTTTACACTGGCTTTGACCTCCCTCAAGATGGAACCGTTTGGGTGTGTAAAGCACTTGGTTCCAGACTCACGAGCTGACAGCTTCGAATGCTCTGCCATACACACCCACCGGGGGGCCCATCAAACATGGTGTGGGTCAGGCTCAGACCCAGTTTGTCACTCTGGGAGGTGGTAAACCTTTATGAGGTTAGGTCCAAAGTCACGGGGTCTGCTATAAAGAGGACAGCCTGCCCTTCGACTTTCTCTACGTTTGCCCTTCATGAACTTCCACTATGGTGCGTCCCCACCACCACCGCCACAGAGCTAGAAAGCAGCAGGGCCAACCCATGACAAACCTCTTCTCTTCAGATGTTTGTCACAGAAACTGTCAACACGGCCTAACCCTCAGCTCTGCCACCTGGTGTCTGGGCTCTCCCTGTCCTTTCTAGCATGTTCTCTAGGCACAACACATCCATCGACCTGTAAAACAGGGAGTTAATTAGCATGAAACAAACATCTCAAATCACATCCGAGTACTAAGCTAAAGAACGTTTCATCCCAAAGAGGAACAGAAGGTACGAGGTTTACTCAACGTTAGTCATCACTCCTACCCAGCGTTCAATGTCGTTTCTCCTGCAGAAGCCCTTCCTTCCTCACCTTTCCACTGTGAACTTCCTAAGCTACTCCGTGCAGTTTTCTCAGCTCTCCTACTACACCAGACCAGTCTTTGGCTAAAAGCTACCAAACGCCAGGACCTGAATACCCTCTGTTTCCCGTTTCACGAGAACTTCTGTAATACAGTACGGAATACTGTAAAACTGTCATCCTTGCTGACTGAGGAGTTCTGATTCCAGGCATCAACTGCAAGGAAATAATTAAGAACGTCCACAGTGTTTCGTTGTGAGAATGCTTACATATGTTATTACAATTATAAACAACTGGAAATGACCTGATGAGTCAAGAGGACGATGGGCTCAGGGACTGCCTAATCCTGAGAGACTTACATTCAGTCATTAAGTCAATCTAGCAACCCTGCAGTCGCAAGTTAAGGCAAAACTTCGGGGTAGAGGTGTACTCCACGAGACTGGAATCATGCACATTTACAGCGGCCACCTCTAAGATTATTCTCAAAGTATAGGAATGAAAGTAAACACAGGGCCGCAGCTCGGGCTGTGTGTGTGTGAAAAGCCTTTGTCTGGTTCTCCATGAACCTCACACAGGTCTAGCTTCATAGAACGGAGGAGAGGGGTTCAAAGCCCAGAAGCCCCTGAGAGGGCATCACATCAGAAGAAGCCACACTTCAGAGGCAAGACAAAAACAAACAAACAAACAAACAAAAGTTGGGGAAATGAAGGAAGAGAGAAAAATGGGAGGAGGAAAGGTTTTATAAGCAGCAAGAGAATCAAGAAGAGATGAAGGCACTGTGGTGAGAGAGCAATCTGCTTCAAAGAGATTTTTTTTATAGTAAGATTCAGAGGGCTGCTAAAAAGCAGAGGGGCCAGCCCTCCAGTGCAGGGCGTGGCCAGGCAGGAGGGGCTCTTCTGAGACCAGCAGGCCAGCTGCTAGTCCCCACAGAGATGCCTGACCCTCCCCTGGCACGGTCCAGCCTCGGCATTGCTGTCCCTATAGTGTAGCCTGGGGCTATAGTGTAGCCGTCTTCCTCTGGAAATCTACTCACAGCCTCTTTCAGAAACAAAGCAAGGTGCACAGTGTCTACTGCCCCTGTCTAGCTCCAGGCTGGAGAGGCTGTGACCTGTGGTCCATCCAAATCCAGGTGACAGGCGCCTGGCCCGCGTGCCTGGACCCGGGGGATTGCTCCAAGGCAACCAGGCTGCAGCCCCGGCTTGAATTGCCACCGAGGCCCTGGCTCCCAAGCCCCTGCCCTTTCCTTAGCAGCCCCCGACCAGATCGGCCTTTCAGCTTTTGACACATGCTTGATGTCAAGGTCACACCGGGTGGGGCTCTGAGCAGGCTGTTTCTATCCGCCATAATCTGCACCAAGCCCCGAGCACACAGCAGACCTGGAGCCTGTGGAACACGGGAGAGCGTCCTGCCCACCGTCTGAAAGGAAGGGCCTGGCAAACGCAGGACCCCACGACTGCAATCAAGTGTCAGGACGCGATGTAGACGAGCGCTACACACGGGACTTGGAAAACTGGTTCTCTTAGAGGCTGCCCTGCTAATCCCACGGTTGTTAATTAGGCTGGTCACAAAGTTCTCTCTCCCCAGGGTTCTGGAGGGCCCCCATCCACAAACCCCCGTTTCCCTCGGCCCCTGTCCAGTTCTGCGCAGAGACTCTCGGTAGATGACATGCCCAAAGCGCACATTGCTGATCTCCATCTCCCAGCCTGCTGCCGCTAAAACATGCTCACTCGCTGGGGAATGCCCTCAACTCCAGCTAGCCATCACCTGGGCCCACAGTAACACCTCATATGAACGAGCTGGAGAGCCTCTGACAACCCAACTCTAGCTGCTCTGAAAAGGTGGGCGTGGTGCGGCGGCTTCATTCCAAGAAAGTGGTCTAGGGAGAGTGTCCATCTTCTCTAAGAGCCCCTGCTGTGGGGTCAGTTAACGTCACTAATGATGCTTAACCAGCGGGAAACGCTTATTCTCTTTCTTGCAGGCCCACCCATCTCCTGTCAGCAGCCGAACCTCTCGACCCAAACAAAATTTCATCCTCTGAAGTCAAGAATGACACTTGGGAGATGGGCGCCAGGCTGCCCACCAGGCACACAGCCTGCTCCCTGGGAGTCCTCCCTGCCTCCCTGCGTCCCAGATCCTTTCAGAACTTTGTGGGGGTCCGGGAAACCTCTCCAGAAAACCCCCACGCCCCACTCCCACCGCAACCCTGTTTCACTGCTTCCTGCATGCATGCCCCTGCCGCAGGAGCAGCCCGGCCTCCCATTGGGGGCCCGCTGGGAATCCGGGGCAGCTGGCCAGACAGCGGTGGCCCCTCGAGGGCGGACAGTCAAGAAACTTCGCAGCGGCGAGAGCGAAGCCGCGCCTGAGTGCCGCGGGAGGGCCGGGATCGCAGGGACCCCCTCCCGGGACTCCGCGAGCAGGCCAGGACGACAGCGTGGCCGCCAGACATTTAAATCGGCCTCCCGGGAGGCGGCGTGGAGGAGGCCGGAAAGGCGGCGGCCGCCCTGGGGGGGATCGCGGGGTGTCCGCGCCGGGGTCGGGGAGCCGCGGGGACACTCACCAGCGCGTGTTGTCGTGGAAGTGCTCCAGCACCGCGTAGCCGAAGAAGGAGCCCGCCGGGCCCTGGAAGCGCACGGGGCGCTGCGCGTCCAGGTTGTAGGCGCCGGCCGGGACCCCCGCGGCCGCCAGCGCCAGCAGCAGCGCGCGGAGCCCCCCGGCGCCCGTCCGCGCCGCAGCCGGGCCGCCCCATCCCCAGCCGGCGCCT